AAAGAGCTGCCGCTCTGACCTGAAGGGGTGCGGGAGGTACAGGTATACTAACTTTGCCATTTTAACAGCAGAATGTGTTTCTCTCTTCTCTCCATCTTATGGCATTGCAATGATCACAGACGACACTGAATTCACCACAGCCATATGTCCGTAATCTCTGATCAACTTCAGTTTCACTAAAGGACTGTGCGTTGCACGCTAAGGCCAACGTTGGCCCATTCTTTTTTGGCCTAGCACGCTCAACGTCTTCCTCCAGATTCTGATTATTAGAAGATAACTTCAGATTGATTCTCGCCTTTCTCCGTTTCCTCTCGCTTTCACCTTTGTTTCCTGAGGTTAAACCGACTCTACATTAAGGGGGCATCTTACTTTATTTTAAATATTAACAAACATACTATGGGCATCTTTACTCCGAACAGATCTCGATCTAGATTGATATCTTATTGCTAACCACTCCAATTCAGACTTGAATTCTGAGCTCCAAATGCATCTAGGAAATAGAGATCGAGATCTAGAGCCTTGCTCTATAAAAAGCTACCCATAAAATACGCCCCGAATTTGGAAAACCTCAACACAACGACATCACTACACCAGATAGATATCTAGAAAAAGTTAGTGCAATGAAGTTCGACCTGAAGTACCCACTGACTCTGCGAAGCACACATCCAAACAGAATTAGATATCGAGATTCTAGATCTGGAAACAGTAGAAGTAGAAGCAGCTCTGTAAACACGAAGTATAACTCAGTGACACCCATACGGCAAAGCACAAACCGAAGTTCTGTTCCTGCTAACAACCCCAAATCAGTCTTGAATTCTGTGCTCCAAATACAAATAGATAGAGATCTAGATCTAGAGTCTTGCTCTGTAAAAAAAAAACTGCGCCCCAAAAACGCGTCAAATTTGGGCAAAGTAAATTATACAACGAAGTAAACATTTTGTTGGTTTAAATGAACTCAACGTGTTGGAGACATGACTACACAAAATGTATCTAGAAAAAGTCAATACAATTAAGTTTGACCTGAAGTATCCATCGAAACTGCGAAGCACACATCCAAACAGAGTTGGATATTGCGATTCTAGATCTGGAAATAGTAGAAGCATCTGCTGTCTCCTCATACTCACGACGAAGCACAAACTGAAACGGAAGTCAGCATCATCATCCGGTGACTTGTCGACTGGCGTGGGCGATCATGGGCCTCCACTTCCATCTGTCTTGCGTTGTAGCAATGGTGTCTGTTGTTCTTGCTGCTTCCAGCCATGTTGTCAACTTGTCCAGTATCTTTTCCCTCTATCTGCCTCTCTTTCCATCATCCTTCCCCGTTGTCACCCCAATGCTTCTTTCCGCATTGTGTGTCCAATGAAACTTACCTGTCGCCTTCGTAAATTCATCTTAGGCTGTCGTCTGCAATTTGCTTCAACCAAGACTTCTTCATTTGTTTTTTTATATCTGTCCATGGGATACACAGCATACGTCTTATGAACCACAACTCTGTTGCCTCAATTGTTCTTCCCAGCTGTTTATTGATTGTCCATGCTTCACACCCGTATAATAGAATTGGCTCGATGTAACTTTTCAGTACTCTTTTTCTTGTTTCCAGTGACAGATTGATGTTTGTGAGTATCTGTTTCATTTTGTGGAAGGTTGCTTTTGCTTGGCAAAAGCGGCTTTTAATTTCGGTGTGACATCTACCATCTGATGATATAATGGTCACCAAAGATTTAAAATGTTGTATTTGCTGAAACGAAAGTAGTCCCCAGTAAAATATGAAATGGCTAATGGCAGAGTGAAAACATCCGATCGCTTCGATTTATAGGAAAAACCATCAACCTGAAAAATCAAAAGGTAGTTTTCCAACTTTGAAAATATGTCCACGTAACTCATTGTGACAATTCTTTTCTGAATTGTATTTTTATAGATTTTATGGGCACATGTGTAAAAAACGTATACTGGCCTTACAAATGGGCTTACCTCCATTATTATCATTATTATTATTATTATTACTACTATTATTGTTATTCTCTCAGTGCAGAGAGCTAGTTTCTTAACGGGATAGAGTGCAATATAAACATGCTATTAACTGTCATTAAAAGTTTGTTTTGAACGTCACGGCTATTCAGTTTTTATTCGTTAACTTTGTTCGGAGTGGTTTGCGGGTGTTCCGATGTTGTTTTTGTTTTGTGTTTTTTTGCTACTACTTTCCTATCAAACATCTATCGCCCGTATATCTCCTCGTATTTTTTATGTTTGTTACTCTCTTGTCACAACTATAATGTATGGCATTTACATGACCTAATCGTGTTGCAAGTGCCGTAAAACTCTTATTAAAAGTAAAACAAACTTTGTTAACTCTCCTTTTCAATCTCCTCATGTTAGACTATTCTCAGGGGCTCTCGTGGCCTAGAGGTTAAGGTGTTAGCCTCTCATTCAAAGGCCCCGGGTTCGAATACGTGTAGAGACCGAAAAATTTTCATATCTAAAATTGTCTCCTTTCACCTCCTTTCCTGCTCTCTAGCAATATTCTGTCGTCTGCTTTCGTCTCCTCTTTCTGTCCCCACCCGCTCACCTCCTTTGCCCCCTCCTGTGGGCTCCTGACTCTTTCCGCAGCCTCTCTACTGCTACTCCTTGACTCCTTCTTACAACTGTCTTTCTGCCACACCCTTGATCTTCTGGTAGGAAAGATCTACACCTAGCCTTCTCGGACAAGGGCGAAAAATCTAGGAGGGCCCGTGTGCAAGTTGCGCACGTTAAAGATCCCTTGGTGGTCTAAAATCGATAAGAGTAGGCTTTGGCCGCCACCCGGGCAAAATTCCAAATTTCCTACTCACTAAAAGTATTAGGTGTGTCCCGCTCGCTCATATGACCTTATGCAGTTGCGAGCGCCGTAAAACACTTTCCAAAAAAAAAAAAAGAAAAGACTGTTCTCACGTCGGTTTTTCTCCCCAACCTCTCTGATCCTATGAGTTCCCGGAGAGACTGACAGAGCGAAACAAAAATATTATGGCCTGGGACAAACCCTGCTCAGCTTCCTCGTGAGAGGGCAAATGTTGCTATTAATTATGACGTTTATAGGCCAAACATTTTCCTTTACTTGCTCGTTTACCCAACCTTGGGTGACCCGGTACAAAATGTACTAAGTCTTGTGTGTCTCCTTTTTTAAAATCTTAATACGTGCACTCAGCGACAGCTCGCAGACGATCGAATTTTTAAACCAACAGAGCGAGTTATCTAATTATCTCAGACGAACTATTCTCTTTAAAATCAAAATCAAATAAAACAAAACGTAAAATAAAAATCCAAAATCTCTCAGTGTTCAGTGTCAGATAATTTTGATATACAAATAAAGAATAAACCTTTACATGGAATGCGTTACAAATTTGCAATTACAAAATCTTAAAAGATGATTCATTGCACCAAAAGAACAATTATATTATAATTGCTGTCTTGTTGACTAAAACCACAAAGCCGATACATTTGTGCAATCATCGCACCGAGAGAGCGCAGGTTCTCGAGTAATTTTCTCCCCTCACTTTCCGGAACTTCCCCGTGTTCTAGAATTGACCAAGCAAACACAAAGGGGGAAGTTTGCTTTAGAGAGACTGACATTCTGCTCCTGGCAAACGTTTTCTTTTGATTAACTCCGTCTAAAGCAAATGGGTAGGGTACACTTTTTATCGGATCATTCGCTAATTGTCTTTCAAAATTACAAATATTTTCTTTCTATATAACAGTCCTTACTCTCTAATGTATGTGCTTACGTTCGTAAGAATAGCAGAAAACGTGCACTATTACTTTATGTTGTTTAGTTGTGTACTGTCGGTCAGAAGTATTATCCAAAAGTGAACAGTATCAGCGTATTCGGAGTTTTCTGGAAATATAATAAGCACGTAGATACAATTATAAATTTCTAGCTCTGGAAAAAATTCCAAGATAGTTACCACCATCAGTAATACTAATTTATCTATAGAGGCACCAGCCATCTATGTCCAGGCGCTGTTTTAGTAGAGATAGTTACGAGTGGCGGAACGTCGGGGTAGTAAAGAAGTAAGACCTGCAGGACATGTACTGTACAGTGTCACTCTGAGATTTGAGAAATAATACAAGCACATCGACACAACAACAGCCGGTCTTTGGCCAGAAGTGTACAGTATCAACTAACTCTGGGTTTTCTGAAAAAAATATAAGCATGTAAACACAGTAATACACTTCTAGCGCTGGAGAAAATACGAGATTGTTACGGGCAGCTGGAAGCAGAGTGGTAAAGAAGTAAGACCTAGACGTCAATCTGTCGAGCACAGTGAGAGCTTTCTTTGTGTTTTGATCAAATAGAAACGCACCTACGTAACTAGAGTCGGAGCAGTCTTTGGCAAGAAGTGTACAGTGTCAAATCATTCTGAGCTTTGAGAAAATAGACGCTCATCGAAACGACTGTCGACATCTAGTCAGTGTTGGAAAGAGCAAGCTAGTTAAAAACATTGTAGTTATAGAGGCAATAGCAAAAAAGTTAGATCTATCAGTAGTACCCTCCAACCACCCACAAAACACTCCGACTTTTGATAAAATAGAAGTACGCAGACACAACAACAGTTGTATTTTGTTGGGGGCCCCAAAAAAATTTTTTTAAAATTAAAACATAAATAAATAAATATATAAATTAATTAATAAAATAAAATAAAATAAAATAACATAACATAACATAAATTAGATTAAATTAAAATAATAAATAAATAAATAAATAAATAAATAAATAAATAAATAAATAAAATAAAAACAAACACATGATAGTTACGAGTAGAATAGAGTAGAGGTACGGTAGTAATTAATATATAAAACCTACTAGTGGCTCTCTCCTACCACGTTCAACTCACAGAGAGCCAGTTTGGACAGGGTCACTGTGGGGAAAAAACCCAGCAATGTGCACTTTGAATGTCTGCATCACACCATCTACTGGTCGAAAGAACCTCGTGACTTTCTCTCTGGGTGAGAGCGAAACCGGGCTAATGCCGACGTCACCAATGACCACACAGTTTGTCCCGATCGCCAGTGACGAGGAGACGGACATGTTCAAGCTGGTCAACTTCGTCATTCTGTGTGGTCTGCTCAGTCCCTTCGGCGTCATCACCAACGTCATCAACATCGTAGTCTTTGTGAAGCTAGGGTTCCACGACAGCATGAATATTAGTCTCATGGGTGAGATAACAGACCGTAAATACCGCATTTACTTATAATCATTGGGTGAGGGTGAGACGAACTAAAAAAATACAAATAGGATGTGCACAACCCAAGTACTTAAGAGTTGGGCCATAGTAAGCCAGTTCACACATTAGTTCAAACCTACACTTCTAGGAACGATCTCCCTCGCCCCTCTCCTATGTCTGTCTGTCTCTCTGTCTGTCTGTCTGTCTCTCTGTCTGTCTGTCTGTCTGTCTGTCTGTCTGTATGTCTGTCTGTCAGACTGATTGTCTGTCTGTATGTCTGTCTGTCTGTCTGTCAGTCTCTCTCTCTTCTTCCACGCTCTTTTTCTCTTTCTCTTTTATCCCTCTGTCTCTCTTTCTCTTTCTTTCTCATTTGTCCATCTCTCTCTTTCTTTATCTTTCTCTTTTCTTTCCCTCCCTATTTTCTCTCCAAAAACACACACACACACACACACACACACACACACACACACACACACACACACACACACACACACACACACTCACTCACATACATATACACACAGAGAAAAAAGAGCGTGAGAGAGAGAGAGAGAGGGGGGGGGGGGGAGAGAGAGAGAGAGAGAGAGAGAGAGAGAGAGAGAGAGAGAGAGAGAGAGAGAGAGAGAGAGTTAGACCAGCAACTGCATGGTACCTTTTGGACTCGTAGTGTTCTCAAATTTCTTTCCTCAGATTTGAAATGTCGTATTTTTCCCGTTGCCTCTCCCGTTCCTTAATTGCATTCTTTTGAAAGTTTGCGATTCTAAAGTCTTGCTGTGTACTTGTTATCCCCTGCTCATCACTGGGAAGTGGGAAAAAAACTTTAAACGTGGGCGGTTGGCAGGTGTTCAGGTGTGGTTTTCTCCTTTTTTCCTATCTAAAATCTATCTATCGTCCTTATCTCCTCTTCATGTGTCTTTACGGTCCTGTACAGCCAAGGAAAATTTCCCTCTGGGATAATAAAGTACTATCTTATCTTATCTTATCTTATCTTATCTTATCTTATCTTATCTTATCTTATCTTTTTCTTTTTTATGTTTATTACTCTCTTGTAACACCTCTTATCATCTGGCGCTTATATGATCTTATACAGTTGCGAGTGCCGTAAAACATCTACTAGAAAAAAACAACTTCAAGCAGCATAAATATTTCGGCTTGATATCGTTCTGCAGCTGTATTAAAACTTCTGGTATGGTGAAACTCTTGTAATTTTACTCGTAGGATAAATCATGACCCACCAGCGTACCTCACGTAATAAATTCTTTTTCTTTGTCTGTTTCTTTAATCAGTGTACTCCTTTGAAGCATTATTGAAAACACTCATAGCGTGTAAATACCCCCCCCCCCCCCCCCCCCCACCTTTTTTCATTTTGAGATAGTCTAATGAGCAAAGAATTCTTTTAAAACCTGTTTTAATCAGTTTTGTTCCGTTGACTTAGTAGAATTGAATTTTTTTCTTCGTTTATTGACCAACTTATATTCCATGCCGCTAATCCCTGTAATTGTTCCTTTCCACGATTTTCAGGATACGTTAAAACCTGAAAGTTTGTTTATCAAAGTTATCTGGAGGTGTGGAAATATTATCATTTATTTATCAAAGTTATCTGGAGGTGTGGAAATATTATCATTTATTTATCAAAGTTATCTGGAGGTGTGGAAATATTATCATTTGTTTATCAAAGTTATCTGGAGGTGTACAAATCGATTATAGAAATGTGTAACACATTCTGAGATTCTCGTTGTTCTTGTCTCAGGCCTGGCCGTGTCTGACCTGGTGTCCCTGGTGTCCATGCTGTTCATCAGTCTCTGCTACAATCCGCTCTTCGCCAACACCGGCCTGCCCTTCGACCCCCTGGACGTTCTGTACATGGTGGGGGGCGGGGTCCATGTTTGTTTTGCCAGGTGGGTCTTTGGTATCGGAAATTATGCCACATGTAGGTCTATGCCTATGTATGCACATATCATTATGTATATATTACTCAAATACACACACATACACACAAACACATACACATACAAATAAACACAGACACACATATTATAAATTATATATATAACGTTCACTAGTTCCAGACAATCGCCTGCAAAAACGACAATTTCTCACCCCCACCCCTTTGCTAGTTTTTCTTTTATAAATGTTGTATACATGTATTATTATGAGCGAGTCCAAGAGGATCCCCTGTTTAATTACTACTTTTCCTCTCCACAATGGGCAGTCGTCTTGGACAATTTCGCCCATATTTTTACAAAATATTTTACAGTCGGTGAAATAATGCCTTGGGAGAGAGAGTTACGAGTAGAATATCTCTGTGTGGTCGTTTTGGACTGGTTCGATTGTATAGGATTATTTCTGCTACATTTTTACAGTCAGTGGAAGAGGGACTTAAGGAGAGGGGATGTATGTGTAAATATCTCTGTCAGGCTGGTCGATGTATTGCATTCTGATCGACCTTTCCGCAGAATCACAAGTCTGATTACCGCTTTCATCACGTTCGAGAGATGCCTGTGTATCGCCATGCCCCTCAAGGTCAAGTTGATCATCACCCCGAAAAGAACCAAGCTCATCAACCTCTCCATCTTTGCTGTCATGTTTATCGTCTTCTCACCCTTCTACTTCGTCAACAAACTTGTCTGGTCTTTCGACGCGGACCGGAATACTACAATACTCATACACGCGTATACAGACGACAGAGTAATTGTGGAAACGGTTACGTTTTTGATCCACGGTGTCATTTTCTCCGTATTTTGTTTTGTGCTCGTCATTTGTTGTACCGTAATTCTCGTGGTTAAACTCAACAGTAAAACTAAATGGCGGGAAGCCACAGCTGCCAAGGGCGTTAATCCACCGGGAGGATTAGGGGTCAAGGATAAAAGGGTCGTGAAAATGGTGACCTTCATCTCGTTTATCTTTATCGTCTGCTTTTTCCCCGCAACGGCAATACTTATGGCTTTGGCTCTGGTGCCAGACCTGGCTTTCGGCGCGAAATATGAAAATATGTGGTTTGTCGTATGGTCTGTTTCCTGTCTAACAGAAACTGTCAATTCCAGCGTGAACATATTTGTCTACCTGCGAATGAGTTCGAAATTCAGATATGTGTTTATGAAAACTTTCCTGAACAAGGAAGAAAAAAAAGTCAGTCGCAGTTCTCAGTGAGTCAATATAAGATCAGTCGCTATGAGTATCAAAGACCTTGCAGGAAATAAAATTATATATTCAGTAAGTTTCCTTGGGAATGTGTTCTTATTTCAGTTATGAGGCAGGTGGTGGGTGGGAGGTGCCGGAAAAGAGGGTGGGTGTTTGCAAGCGCGTGTGTCGTTAGGTTCAACAAGTAGACAAAGAAGGACACACTCTACTTACACGTTTGCGGGCTAAGCAGGGAATGACTCACCAGTCCTTTAATCTTGTGCTGAACTCAGTGGTTACACGTACACATATCAACATACGCACTTCTTTAGCAAGATGCATTAGTGTATTTTTTAAATGTAACATTTACAACATCTTCTTAGTGGTCAATTAGTTCAAAACCCTTTATAAGAAACATTCTTTATTAGCAAGTTAAATTATAAGAAATTCTACTACTAATACTATCTGAGCTTTGCAGACACAAAATAGAAAGCGTTCTAGCTCATGAATCCCACTCCTAAGAAATTGATATTGATTTAAATCAAACTGGAAACCTTTTAAATCAAACAGCAATCCCCCCACTTTGTAACTGAATTCCATTGGAAGGGACTGTCATGATTTTCCACTAACATGTATTTTCTAATAACACAAAATCAAAATTTTCTGTTCATTGTCTTTTCAAAATCCTTTTCGATAACTTCTTTTGACTTTGTAAGGTCATCTACTGGTCAGTTCTCAGCGGTGATGAGTATGGAACATTGTCTTTAAAGAGTTTGGTTAATTTCTAAACAGACCTCTACAGTTCTGATGGGTGACTAGTGTTTGATCATAATCTAAAGCTCAGTTGTGTAGACAATGTGTACTGCTTTGTTTTGATGTTTTTGTTGACTGCATGTTGCACACTAACAAAAATATCCGTACCACAATCTTAATTAAAACAGGCCATAGATCTATTTGGTGTAATCGATGATCTCAACCTTAGGTATATAAGTTTTAGGTTTGGTTTGACAATGCGGCTACTTCTGGTTATGTAGTGTTTGTTTTGCGCATTGCTACGATTTGGGCCAGGAGTCAGGTTTGACTTGAAGCTTGTGGGCAGTGAAGTTGTTGGTTGTTGACTTGTTGTAGATTCAACAGGACCAACCGTCTGACTGCATCCGCTCGACCCGCCAGGGGCTGTTACTTCTCGATCAGGCCGATCAAAAGGGCTGCTGTGTCGTCTTTCCAAGCTGTGGTCGTTTCCTGCAGACCTTCTACTAGGGTCAGGATGACGTTATCGTCAGGCTCATCATCACTTTCGTAAAAATTTGTTGACTTTGGTCTCAAATGCACCCTATTCCTGATGTAAATGCCGCTAGTTTACCATTCTATTCTATAGGATCTGTTATTGATCTTTTCTTTGATTCTGCCTGCGTTCCAACCGGGTTTACCATGATTTTGGTAATAAGCAGTCTGACGCTTTTGCAAGGGATTCATATCACTGGCCTTTCTGTCAAATTGTCTCTTGTTGTCTGGAACATAATTTTGCTTTCTCATTTGAGGCAAGGACGTTCTTATTTTTCTCTGAAACGTCATCTGGGCTGGAGTAGTCAGTCCCATCTTGTCTTGGGCTGTTTCTAAGTTCTAAAAGTGCTTTGTATTGATCTTTGTGATCCAGCACACAACGTTTTTATCAAGCAAGGTTCTTATTATTTTTACCGCCGATTCAGCCTTTCCATTGGCTTGGTGATGGCCCGGAGATGATCGTACATGAGTGATACCCCAATGTTGTGTGAACTGTTTGACAGTTGTAGCTGTATACTGTGAACCTCAGTCAGTGACACGGATTTTTGGCACTACATATGTAGCAAAATGTGACTTGATGTTGGTGATTACTGTTTCAGATGTCGATGTTGGCAAACAGTCGACCTCAATGAAATCAGAAAAATAGTCTACCAGAATTAAGTACTGTCTACCTTTCATTTAAAAAATATCAGATCTTAGCTTTTCAAATTGTGCTCGTCCAACACTGTGTTGTGCCAGTGTTTCTCTCTGGTTTCTTAGCTTGTTCTGCTGACAAACTTCACTTCTGTCAGCCATTTGTTTTATTTCAGCAGTCGTGCATGGCCAGAAAACAGTCCGCCTTGCCCTCCTCACCATGCTCTCTGTGGCTAGGTGAACTGCATGCAGTTTTCTCTTTATCTCCTCTCGCATTGACTTTGGTACATGGACCTTTTCTGCTCTTGTAATCAGCACATCGTCAATACTCATAGTTTTCCTGTAGTAAACAAATGGTTTGGTTGACGGTGGCAGTTCAGATTTGCTTTTTGGCCACCCAGTTCTGATTATTTCTGCTAGGGTTTGCATGTCTTCATCTTTCGAAGTTTCTGTCTTCAAATTCTCAATCATTGCATCTGGTATATTGCTCTTTGCGTGGACTTCCGTTTTGTTCTCGGATGAAATGATGTTGCAGACGACCGCTCGCAAATGACGTATCTGCAATTAGTAGTGAACTTCTTCTCGCCCTGGTCAAATCAAAATCATAGCCTTTTCTTCTCATAATGAGTCTTTGAAGTCGCTTAGGAGCTTCACTCAACGGCTTTCTTATTATTATTTCAAGGGGCTTGTGATCGGTTGTCACATAAACTTTCCGCACAAAGGTGTATTGGTCGAATCTCTCAAGACCAAATACGACGGCTAACATCTCTTTCTCTATCTGCATCCATTTTTGCTCTGTTGCTGACAGCGTTCTGGAAGAAAATTCAATCGACTGGACCTCCTGCATTAGGGGTGCCCCTAAACCATCTTTGCTGCTGTCCACTTGCATCTCTAAAGGCATGTTTGGGTCATAAAATAGTAAGACTGGTGTCGTCGGTATCATTTCTTTGATTTCGGAGAAAGCTGTCTGACATTTTTTGGACCAGACGAATGGTGTGTCTTTTCTTGTCAGATCTCTTAGAGGCTGTTTTCTGTCTGGGAGCTTTTTGAGGAATTTGGCTAGTTATTGAACCATTCCACACAATCTTCTCACGTCGAGAACGTCTTTTTGGGTAGGCATCTTTATGATTGCTTCTACTTTCCGAGCATCAGGTTCTATTCCTCTTTTGCCTGTCTTGTGACCCATAAATCTAACTTCCTCCTATCTTTCTCTGGCTTTTTCTTGGATGAGTTTGATGTCTTTTTTTTTATATCTTTCATTGAGAAGGTCATATTTCCTATCATGGTCTTTCTGTGCTTTCTGTTTGATGAGGCCATTTCCGATCACGATGATGTCATCAAGGACACTCACTATACCAAGTAGGTTTTCAAGTGCAGTTGCAAGGTGTCTCTGGAAAATCTGGCTTGACACATTCAGTCTAAATGGTCGTCTTGTCCATATCACTCTACCAAATGTTAATTGTGTGATCATCGTGGAGAGCTTGCTCGACTCTTTATCTAGTGATGCCGCATGCGAAATGAAATGTCTCCACAAAGCCCTTAACATCACAAGACGAGACAGGCAGAGAAATGAAGACGTAAGAGCAGCTATCGGCACGGAGTCCTGCCTGCGTTACATAGAAAGACAGAGAATAAAATGGTTTGGCCACCTGTTACGCAGGTCACCTGACCAGCCAGCCTCGAGAGCCTACAACACCAAGCACTCAGGCTATAAAGGAAGAGGAAGGCCACGCAAAAGGTGGTCAAGGAAACCCTAAGAAAATCATAACATCACAACTGAAAGAGCTACGGAGCTGGCCTACCATAGAAAACTGCATCTCCCCTCGACGCCTAACGGCAACAGAGGATGAAAAAGTAAAAGTAAGGTGAAGTTTGCAGTCTGCTCGGATGCCTGGCAAATGTCGATTGTCTTCTTTAAAGTGACACCAGGTTCTCTCAATAACTTTTCCTTGAGATGTTGAGGAACACTTGTCTCTGATCATCTTGTCTTTCTCCTGAAAGCTACATCTCTCAGCCCGAGCTTTCAATGAAGTTGAAAAATGCCGAAAGGCGCTGATATAAGCAGGTTCCAAAATCTATATATTTGCAGCACCTCATTGCTTCTCGGGTTGTAATACTGCTGCTAATAAAGTAGTGCCTGTTGCAAGTTATCCTTATCTTCAGTATTCTGAAATTCAAACAGATCAAAAACTTCTAGGGCTTCTGGGCCTGCACCGTGCAGAATTATGGCTGTCTGGGTTTCAGATGACTTGCTGGTGTTCCCTGAGGCTTCCATATAAACATCTAGCTATCTCCCCCATTTTCTAAAATGATCAGCTAAATTGGTCTCTTTTAAGGACAAGCGAGCTGACCACAGAAATCTTGACCTACATCAAAAGTGGGTATTGCTCTGCCTATAGGAAAAGTTTGGTTTCATTGGGGTGTATATTTGTTTGGTTATAGAGAAAACTCTCCTTGTCTTTTAAAGAAACTGATCAAGAGACTAAAAATTTTACCTTCGATTTTCTCAAAACAGCATTTTTCGGGAGAACCCAATGGTGCTTAGAAACGACCAATTATCCTCACTCATGTGGAGTGGTGAGGGAAGGCGAAAATTAGCCTCTGCCATAGTCGTCAGGTTGCAGCTACATCGGGCAGAAATTGACACTATCTGGGTCTCAGTCTGCTCAGTGCAATATTGTTGCAAGGGAAGCGATACCTGACTTCGAGTTTTCTTCTTATTTACAGAGGTCATTTCCCTTGGCTGGCCTCATGGCTTAACTTCAGTTCAGATCCAATTTCTAAATTATAGAATATCACAACTGAATTCCAGGTCTGTTCATACACAGTATAAAAAATATGGACACTTCTTACCATACATTTGGATTTCCAGGCATTTTCAGCTGTTACCATGTTTGTAAGCGTGTGTGCCTTTAGGTTCGACATGTAGACAAACAAGAACAGACTCGACATGCACGTTTGCCGACTGAGTAGCCAGTCCTTTAATCTCGTGCTAAATTCGGTGGTTACAAAAATATTTATGGGAAATGGTACGAAACACGAACAATGTACTCATATAAACAGTGAGTGGGGAGAGGGGCGGTAAATTTTAATTTAGGTTTTGGGCGAGAGGCAAGTGTTTAGAATGTAAATATACAGTTTAGCACGCACATAGCAAAGTCTGCGATACGCGGAAATCTTTTTGTTACGTACTAATTTCTCTATATTCCTGTTTTAGTACAGAGACTAGATAATGTATAAGAAAAACTCCGGGACCTGAAAACATGTAGGTTATGAACGTGTTTCGCTATGTGCGTGTAGACAATAATACGCGTGCTGAATTGTAAACTTTTGTCCAAAGAAATGTTCAAACTTAAAAAATTCTTAGTTCTAACTTAAAAGTAAGACCCTTAGAATATTGCAACAGCAAACGTTCAATGTGATCGCTACCTTAGAATTATCAAGCTATATCTGGCAATGTTTGGTCGTTTACGACTTTGACCATGAGGTCGGAAAAGAAATGTTTTATTTGTTCTTATACAATAGTAAGATTATTCGGAGTGGTTATACAACAAGTTCAAAGAATCGCTTTCGAAAAAGCTTGATGTCTTGTGATACTCATAGTTTTTGACCTCAAATTTCTCTAAACAAAGTGCTGAACAGACAGAACGTTGTCCGTCTAGAGTAGCGAGATAATGTCGAGTTTAAGACTCTTTTTTTCTTTCTTTTTTTTTTTTTTTTTTGCTCCATTGTCCTCTGCGTTTGAGTAGGTTGTACTGATTTTTAAACGTTTTAGATTGTTCAATTCTACTTTTAGAAATATATAGCCACACGTTACAAAAAGCTGGTAAAGAAAAACGATGTCAAAATACCTTGAAAAACAATTATAAAAACAATTATTGTAAAGTCTATTGTTTCTATTTAACTATTTGTCTTTCTTCTGTACACCCATCGTGTCCCACTGCTATATTTGGTGACTTTTGTTCGTTTCCTTGATGATGTTGTGGTTGCTAGTAGCCATGTAGAGTAATGCTATTATTGAGCAGTCTCTTCTGTTCCCCCTGCTCGCCTCTTCTTGTTGGTCTCTTATCCTTCCCCCCCCCCCCCCCCCCCCTTTTTTCTCATTGTCTCCTCCTCTGCTGCCCCCTTTCTTTTCCTTTTATCACCTTCCTTCTCCCTTCCCACCCCGCACCTTCTTGTCCCTCCTTTTCCTCCCCTCCCACCACCTTCTAACTTTCGCCTCTCTTTCCGTCTCTGTAACTTCTCCTTTTGCCCCCCCCCCCTTTTTTTTCTGCCGCCAGTTATAATTTATTGTGTCATTAATGGCATTTTTTGATAATTGTACTTGTGAACGTTACACCCTGTCTCTGTGTAAAAAAAAAAAAAGAAAGAAAAAGAAACAATAAACATACTCAGCCTCAGAATCCATTTTTCTATTTTTTTTCAAATATTTTTTCTTTAGTTTTGAATATGGACATAATGATGTCATTTAGGTTTATTATAATAGCAATGCACTAAGGATGAACTTGGTTCGTATAGAGTGATCAGAATTAATGCATTAATTATCGACTAAGATACTATAGAGTATCCTGTAAATAGAACATAATGGTCAATACGAGGTGTACTGTAAAGAGAACCAATACGCTACGGAGTAATCTGAAGAGTGTGCTATGAATAAAACCAACAGTGTAGAGTGTGCTATGAATAAAACCAACAGTGTAGAGTGTGCTATGAATAAAACCAACAGTGTAGAGTGTGCTATGAATGGAACCAACAGTGTAGAGTGTGCTATGAATAAAAACAACAGTGTAGAGTGTGCTATGAATAAAACCAACAGTGTAGAGTGTGCTATGAATAAAACCAACAGTGTAGAGTGTGCTATGAATAAAACCAACAGTGTAGAGTGTACTATGAATAAAACCAACAGTGTAGAGTGTACTATGAATAAAACCAACAGTGTAGAGTGTGCTATGAATAAAACCAACAGTGTAGAGTGTGCTATGAATAAAACCAACAGTGTAGAGTGTGCTATGAATAAAACCAACAGTGTAGAGTATGCTATGAATAAAACCAACAGTGTAGAGTATGCTATGAATAAAACCAACAGTGTAGAGTGTGCTATGAATAAAACCAACAGTGTAGAGTATGCTATGAATAAAACCAACAGTGTAGAGTGTGCTATGAATAAAACCAACAGTGTAGAGTGTGCTATGAATAAAACCAACAGTGTAGAGTGTGCTATGAATAAAACCAACAGTGTAGAGTGTGCTATGAATAAAACCAACAGTGTAGAGTGTGCTATGAATAAAACCAACAGTGTAGAGTGTGCTATGAATGGAACCAACAGTGTAGAGTATGCTATGAATAAAACCAACAGTGTAGAGTGTGCTATGAATAAAACCAACAGTGTAGAGTGTGCTATGAATAAAACCAACAGTGTAGAGTGTGCTATGAATGGAACTAAAACGCTATAAATTAATTTGAAGATTAAGCTGTGAATAAAACCAACATTTTATTTATTAGCAATAAATTAATGTGTAGAGTATACTGTTAGTAGAACCAATACGCTATTGATTTTATTTGAAGAATATACTGTGAATATAATCAACACATTATGGAAATGCTTGTAGATTTCACAGTGAATTCAACCAATACACTATGGACGAACTTGGAGTGTATACTGTAAATAAAAACAACATATTACACTCAATTTATGGGTAGAGTATACTGCAAAATGAACCTATACACTAACGTGGAATTAATACTGTCAGTAAAAACCAACATTAAGTAAGCATCACTTCATAACACCCACAAACTGTACATAAACAGAGCACAAAGTTGAATAACGGAAGAACACACTTCTGTAAACAAGTTGGATTTATACGTTGTTGTATTTTTGCAAAAATCTTCCTGTACAGATGATGCAAAACACAGAGATACTTCTATCAAACTCCAAACAATTCACTCCTGAAAGGTAGAATAATATATATATAGAATGTAACAAACACACACACACAGAGAGAGAGAGAGAGAGAGAGAGAGAGAGAGAGAGAGAGAGAGAGAGAGAGAGAGAGAGAGAGAGAGAGAAAGAGAGAGAAAGAGACTTTTAAAAATACAAAGTAAAAAGATGAAGTAACAAGACGTATCATGAAACTAATCATCATTTTTCAAGAGGCCGAATCTTCATTTCGACAGAGCTGACGGAGCCGTAATATGTTGTTACACTTAACCAGACCAACCCCCTCCCATAAATTGTGCTTCCCCACTTTCCGTTTAGGTTCGAGGAATGACATTTCTCGTACCACCAGGCTCCGTGGTACCTCGTGGCGCAGTTCTGGCTCGCAGCGTCGTTGTCGTTGTCCTTGGTAGTAAATCCAAAGCCATTGTGCCGAGCCATGTGGTCGCTGACGTTCCCAGAAAACCCAGACAAATGGATTTTGTACTTTTCTGTCTCTCCAGACAGCCAAAAGTTCTCGTAAGAGGCGAAATAGTTGTTTCCCTTGTACGTCATATCAAATCTCAGCTCGTGTCTTGCCTGGAAACAAGAAAAGGAAGAACATTAAGGGGGGGGCTACACCTGAAGGCTATCTCACTTATTACTGGACTGACTTTGACCAAATTTAACACATATAACAAGCATAGTAAGGCGTCTTAAAATCAGAAATCAAAATGAGAAAAACGTTTTGTTTCCATGGATACGGCGACATATTGGATTTTGTTGACCTGGGTTACGTAATGAATACCTCACTTATCGCTCATGGAAATTGATTGTTTTTTATTCACTCGTGTTTACAAGCATTAGATCTAAAAATTCGTTTGTTGTTTTTATCCTTGACGAATTAGGAAATTTTTAATGAATCTTTTCCTGAGGTAGCCTTCAAGTTTACAAAAAAATCCGTGAAAATCCACACTCCAAAAACCACCAACAAAAATATATTCCATATATAAAAAATTCACAACATTAATATTTAGTATTACATCTTCACTTCATTCTGTGAAAATTTCATGAAGATTGGATGAAAAATGGTGGAGTTATTCAAAGTGCAGAGAAAAGTCGCTTTTTGGGAAAACGGCCGATAAAGAAAAATAAAATACTGACTTTATGAGAAAATGGTGGTTTACAAACATGCCCGGTATGGGAAAAATACGGTTTTGGGGGGTTCTTATGCGATGAAATAGTTGTAGGAGAGGCTGAGGAAGCTAAAAATGCCAACAACTAAAATTCCATAATTTTGGGCCGAATCTTGACTTTGGGGGCGTAGCCCTTCCCCCCTTAAAACTGCTGTCCAATATGCAACAGAGTTCCTGGCGATACAGTAAAATACGTCATCTAATCAATAATACCCATACAGCTTTTTGTGAATAGTTTGATCAAGACTTGATTAAATCAACGCCTTCTTATCAGGAATATACTCATAAATGAGAACTACTGGGAATTTCAATACCGACACAACCCAGTCTCTATGTGTCAGTTAGAAATGAACCTGTTCTAGTCAGGGACAATGCACTTTCAAATCCGAGTTGAACCAAAATGTTTCATGTCCCCAAGTATTGCCAGTCAGCCGAACTTTCTAGTGGGAGTGGTTACACGTCCATTGTTTTAGATTTAGTGAGAGTTTTACGCCAATAGTAACATGAATAGGTCAAGTCAGTATCTAAAAATCAGGGGTGCTACTATACTTGACAATAACAGGTTTGGGGAAAAGGAAAGGCGATAAGGACGATATAATATGCCTGATAGGAAAGAAGCAACAGAGACATCGACACTAGCAACAAGGGCATTAACAACAGTAACAAAGACAACGAAAGCACGATATCGTCAGCAGCAACAGTTCTCAGAGTTAGCCACATATTTTGGCCGAACTTTTAAAAGAAGAAGAAGAAGAAGAAGAAGAAGAAGAAGAAGAAGAAGAAGAAGAAGAAGAAGAAGAAGCTAT